TACTAATGCAACAGAATGACAAGAACATAGAAACGTCATTAAATCACATAATTTTTTAAATTTCTTTTTAAATAACAAATGATTCTCTGTCATGACAGACGCGTTGTTGCATAACAATGCAACAATATTTGAAAATGGAATATTTAATTCCAATATTTTATTTCTAAGTCTCTCAAATAACTTATCTGCGCTGAAATCTTTGATATCAATACATATTAATTCGATTAATTGTGAATACATCTAGTATTTCTGAATCAACGTAACGAACTTGAAAAATCACCCATATATTACCTTTATAAATGTCAGAAGTGAAGCCAATAAATACTGTAAATTTGGTATTCTGAATTTTATTAAGATATTTCGTTTCGATTGGGCATAAAATGTTCGTAATAATTTTTGTGCATTTTGTTCTGCCCATGCGTAAAGTTTTTAATACGTTAGGGCCTTCTGCATATTGAAATAAATTAAGTATCTTGGGCGAATGTCTATAAGAAATATTGTGATCGGTGAATATGCAGCATATCTGATCTCCATTTCTTTTCTATGCTCTTCAAGTATCAAAAACGATTTACTAATTTGAAATTTAAAATCTTCATTTGATTTGCTTATTTCAATAGAACTACATTTACATCTATCTATATGTAGTTTACTAATTGCATGAGAATAGATTCGCTTTTTAGTGTACAAGAAAGATTTATTATAAATTAAACAGAAAAATTTAGTTGCATCACATGGCTCTCTCTCTCTCTCTCTCTCTCTCTCTCTCTCTCTCTCTCTTTCTCTCTTTGCGTAACCAATATTTCAATTCTTCAATCTCTTTTTTCTTGAAATAATTTACGATTTTTTTTTGATAAATTATCATCACTAGATAATAATAAATTCTTCTCAATATTATTTTTGTGATGAGTAGAATTCATTTCGTAATATGACTCTTGCATGATATATTTCTATCATATTTACAGCAGATAAAGAAAAGAATAAAGATTATACAGATGATACTTTGTGTATTCACGATTTATATCGATCAATCAACCTTCCATAAAGTTTCACTTATATTTTTTCGTAAGTTTATCACTGATTGTCTTATATCCTGTGAGTATTATTCATATGCACACTATGATTTTGCGAGAATGTTCAGTTTATTCTGGTTTCATAATATACTTGATAGTATTTGAAGTTTGTATGATCACTTAATCATCCATTTGTCTCAAGAATAACATACGTTAACGTAATCTCTATCATACGCGCACATATAAATGTCATATTCTTTAATATCATGTGATAACGCCTGAAAATTAATATCTTCAGTTCATATAATACAATGTCTGGGAATTAACATTCTACAGAGTCTTCATATCACGGACCGTGACAATGGTTGTGTTCAGCAGAATTTTTATTTTGCAACTATTGGAAGTTTTCTTCGCGCTAATTGGATTATACTTTTAAAGGAATAATCCTATCTCAACAGATAATCATAAAATAGTTGCCAAACTGTTGTGTTCTGCTGAATGCAGATGTTAATGTCTGAAGGATCTTGAATCCATCCATTCCAATGAATGGAAACATACATATGATAGTTTAGAAGTTTGGTTCGACTGATTAAATGTAATGAATACTTTAGTACTATCGATTGATTGACTGTCTTTCTTACTGTAACATATCACACAACTGACAAGAACAAGAGTCTGCAAGGCAGACTAAGGCTAATACGTTCCTAGAGACGCTTTTCTTTTTAGAGGCTCAATGTACAACGTAGTAGCACTGAAATTCAGCGGTGTATCCATGCATTGACAAGAATAAGGGTAAAAGGCAGGTTCCAGACCGTTAGATAAGGTTAATTAGGCTAAGTGCGGTTAACTATAAATATTAGGTGTACTAAAAAGAAATCTATTATTTTTGTAATATTATATATGAATGGTTCAAATATGAATGCGACTTTCTTGTGTGAATACAAACATCGACGAGATACTATTAAAGATCGTCAATCCTAGACAAATCTTATAGTCGCGTAATATTATTTAATATTTTAAGTATATTCTTCTTAGAATATTAAATGTAATTTACTTCCGGGTTCTTTTTGTGAGGACAAAAATTCCTTATAGGCGTAATATTAAATGTAATTTAATGTAATTAAATATTTAATGTAATTAAATATTCTAAAAATATGCTTAAAATATTATTTAATATTAATAATATTATGTGCCTATAGGGAATTTTCGTCTTCATAAAAAAGGTTCGGAGATAACTGAAGAACGCTGACATTATCAATAACTGATATAAATTTGCCAAATTACTAACATAAATATTTAGTTAATATATTTTTAAATTCATGATTTTTTTATTATATAAATGCTCTATAAATAAGTATGCATACTTGTAATTTTTATTTCTTATGTATTGTCACAAAATTACAATTTTTTTCTTTACAATAAAATTATCATTTCTATCGATAATCAAACCCGGATGACATTAAAATCACAGTTTTTAATAAAAATCGAGTATTATTTATACAATTTTATATATCTACGAAACTAATTAATTACAAAAATTTTTAGTTTTAACATTTAACAAGGGAGAAAGAGAGAAAGAGAGAGAGAGAGAGAGAGAGAGAGAGAGAGAGAGAGAAATGCGAACTTCCGAATGAATGACAGTCTTTAATAGTGTCTTGTCGGTGATACCAATCAACGTTGGGAAATGTACTTACTATTTAAGCAACAGGAGTTGCTTAAGTTAGAATATCTATTCACGTCCTACGTTATTACGGACTCATTCATAGTTACTTCTGTAGTTGTTGCAATTAGTAGTGAACAAATTATTGCATAGCATAACAACGTTTAGGTTGTTTTGCAAACAAAAATGATAAAATCCTTATAAGTTTGCGTAAATTGCATGCACAATTCAAAGGAAATGAGCTGTTGTCGACGTTGAAAGCTGAAGAAAATCGATCTCCTGCTGTCTGGGATCTTAGCTTTTATAATTCCTATTATTTTTATTATATATATA